TCTATCCATCTATCCATCTATCCTCACTGACTGCACATTCATCTATCTATCTATCTATCCATCCATCCATCTATCTATCCATCCATTCACTGACTGCACATCCATCCATCCATCCATCCATTCATCTATCTATCTATCCCACTGACTGCATATCAGCATCCATCCATCCATCTATCCATCTATCTATCCATCTATCCATCCATCTATCTATCCCCACTGACCGCACATCTATCTATCTATCCATCCATATCATCTCATCCATCCATCCATCCATCCATCTATCCCCACTGACTGCATATCTATCCATCTATCCATTCATGACTGCACATCTATCTATCCTATCTATCTATCTATCCATCCATCTATCTATCTCACTGACTGCATATCCATCCATCTATCACATCTATCTATCTCACTGACTGCACATCCATCCATCTATCCATCCATCCATCCATCCATCCATCCATCCATCCATCCATCCATCCCACTGACTGCACATCTATCCATCCATCCATCCATCCATCTCACTGACCTGCACATCTCATCCATCCATCCATCCATCCATCCATCCATCCATCTATCCATCCATCTCACCGACCATATCCATCCATCCATCCATCCATCTATCTATCCATCCATCCATCCATCCATCCATTCATCACATCTATCTATCCATCCATCCATCTATCCATCCATCCTGACTGCATATCATCCATCCATCTATCTATCTATCCCACCGATGCTATCCATTCATCCATCTATCTATCTATCCATCTCACTGACTGCACATCTATCTATCTATCTATCCATCCATCTATCCATCCATCTATCTATCTCACTGACTGCATATCTATTCATCTATCTATCTCACTGACTGCATTCATTCATCTATCCATCTATCCATCTATCCATCTATCCATTCATCTATCCATCTATCTATCTATCTATCTATCTATCTATCTCACTGACTGCATATCTCATCTATCCATCTATCCATCTATCTTGCATCCATCCATCTATCTATCTCACTGACTGCATATCATTCATCTATCTATTCATCTATCTATCCATCTATCTATCTATCTATCTATCTCACTGACTGCATATCTATTCATCTATCTATCTATCTATCCATCTATCTATCCATCCATCTATCTCACTGATCGACATCTATTCATCTATCTATCTATTCATCTATTATCTATCTATCTATCTATCTATCTCACTGACTGCATATTCATCTATCTATATTATCATCTATCTATCTATCTATCTATCTATCTATCTATCTCAGGCTGTTCCTATCTATTCATCTATCTATCTATCTATCTATCTATCTATCTATCTATCACATTCATTAAATATTTATGTATATCAGAATGATCATAGCTCTTTAGAAGATCATATCGGCTTATATTTCTTTCTTTCTTTCTTTCTTTCTTTCTTTCTTTCTTTCTTTCTTTCTTTCTTTCGCGCGTTCGCTCGCTTGCGCGTTCATTTTAGATTTCTTTCCAAAACGCCGTAAATTACATGCTTTTTCTTTGAAGAATGATTTAATACTTCATTTCTTTCTTTCACACTTCATTTCTTTTCCTTATTCAATTGACCTTTTGAACCATTTCAAATAAGGTTCATTCTAGTCCCTTTCACCCCCCCTAGTCCATCTAAAGAGTAATGGCCTCATACCTAACTTAGCCAAACTTAGTGAATATCTTTTCGTGCTACGCTGTTTGCATGGGGTTCATTATTCTAGGGATACAGCCACTAATCATTTCCCCACTAAAAAGATTCTTAAATAATTAATGTATCTTTCAAGTTTTAACAAAATCAAGGAAGTTTTATCTGTGAGGAATTGGTTTAAATATATGAACAATCAAAAGTTATCTATAAGAACGATTGATTTGCTTATTTTCCAGCTTATCGACCCTTTGTGAGTCATTTATAGCTGAAACATATTACAAGTTGGAAGAGATTGCTTACAGAACCTGGTGTTGTCAAATGGTCTTCTATCTAAATACTGCCCCGTCCCGACGTTGCTTAACTTGAGTGATCAAACAAAACCCGGTAGTTTCAGTATGATTTGACTATATATTTGAAATCAGGTGAATTAACGTCTTCCTTATAAACAGATTCAAGTTTAGCAACATCAGTTTAAACGTAACGGCCAGCCTTACCATCTAACAAACTGATATTCGTTTTCTGCTTCTATGTATTCATTTTGGATTATTTTAGAAGAAGCTATGATGTATCAAAATAGTTCTGCTGTAGTAATTGCCTATTGTCATCTTCCAGATTGAAAAGTGCAAATTGATGTTTCAGCTTTTCATCCGTATCCAGACATTGCGCAGTTAATCCGGTGTAAATCTGATAACTTCCATATCGGATAATGTCGGCTCCTATACTTATTATTTTTATTTCTTTTTTTATTTAATTTCTAAAGAATTCCTTTATTCCGGTGACTTTTTCTAGCATTTTCATTTTTAGAAGTGGGAAATGTTGAATGGTGAAAATTATATTAGAAATCTATTCATAGTGCTTTTTATTTTTCCTCGTGTTTGTTTTTTTATCTGATTTGAAATGACTCTTATCACTATCTTAAAACTTACTAAAAGTTCGCGTAATGTGGTTTTTGAATCAGAGCGCGTAGCATGATTAGACCGGAAATACAACAAGATTAATTAAAGATTAAAGATTGATTAGCTTTTAGAGCTTATTGGTATCTTTTTGGATTGCGATAATTTTATTGGAGGATAATAATAATTTATTGATACAAGTCCATTTGATTAACCTATAGAGGGGGACCAATGAGGTGGATTTGCACCTTTTCTAAGGGTATTTGCGTGTAAGTAAATATAACGAACTTGTCAGGAATTGGAAATCAGTTCTCCAATTTCCAATTCCGAGCCGTTATCCATTATATCACTCGAACATTAACGCTTACAGCACCTGATATTCTCAATAGGTCACCCATCTAGCGACGTTGCTTAATTTCGTTGAGTGTACGAGAACCGGTATTTCAACGTGATATGGTCGTAAGCCTGAAATAGGACAAAGAACTGTGCGTCTTGTAGACACCAGGATAAGGAATAGAATATTGATGCCCGGAATGATACAAGAAAGAGCAATAGAAATGCAGAAGGATCTATACCTATGTGTTATTGATTATAGAAAAGCGCCTGCCAAGATATGACACAAAGAACTACATGAACTGTTTGGTAAGCTTCTTTTATTTGGGAAGGTTATTAGAATAATCCAAAACTTATTCCGGACGTATGACAAATTGAAAAAAAATGCAAAAAATTTAAATATCTAGGAAGTTTTTAACAGAGGATGGACGGTGTGGCACCGAAATCCGAAGGCGTATTGGAATAGAGAAACATGAAACTTTCACTAGAAACAAACAAAAGAAGACAGAACTGTTATGTAATATCAGTCCTGGACAATGCTGTACAATCTCATCAGAGATGAAGAAGAGACTTGAAGCAAGAGAAAGAAAGAAAAGAGTACTGAACTGTTATGTAATATCAGTCTTCCTATATGGCAGTGAATGCTGGACAATCTCCTCACAGATGAAGAAGAGACTTGAAGCAAGAGAAACAAAGAAAAGAGTACTGAACTGTTATGTAATATCAGTCCTCTTATATGGCAGTGAATGCAGGGCAATCTCCCCACAGATGAAGAAGAGACTTGAAGCAAGAGAAACAAAGAAAAGAGTACTGAACTGTTATGTAATATCAGTCCTCCTATATGGCAGTGAATGCTGGACAATATCCTCACAAATGAAGAAGAGACTTGAAGCAAGAGAAACAAAGAAAAGAGTACTGAACTGTTATGTAATATCAGTCCTCCTATATGGCAGTGAATGCTGGACAATATCCTCACAAATGAAGAAGAGACTTGAAGCAAGAGAAACAAAAGAAAAAGAGTACTGAACTGTTATGTAATATCAGTCCTCCTATATGGCAGTGAATGCTGGACAATATCCTCACAAATGAAGAAGAGACTTGAAGCAAGAGAAACAAAGAAAAGAGTACTGAACTGTTATGTAATATCAGTCCTCCTATATGGCAGTGAATGCTGGACAATATCCTCACAAATGAAGAAGAGACTTGAAGCAAGAGAAACAAAGAAAAGAGTACTGAACTGTTATGTAATATCAGTCCTCCTATATGGCAGTGAATGCTGGATAATCTCCTCACAGATGAAGAAGTGATTTGAACCAAGGGAAACGAAGAAAAGACTACTGAATTGTTACGTAATACCAGTCCCCTTATAAGGCAGTCAATGCTGGACAATGTCTTCACAGATGAAGAAGAGACTCCAAGCAAAAGAAACATACAGAAGAGTACTGTGCTGTTATGTGATATCTGTCCTCCTATATGGCAGGGAATGGTGGGCAATCTCATCGCAGAGCCTTTAAGCAGCAGAAATGTGGTTCTACAGAAGGATACCGAGAATGCCATGAACTGAACAAGTGAGCAACAACGAAGTTTTCGAAAATATTGAAGCAGGGTATCCAGTATCAGAAAGTGACATTTGACATTTCTAGATCACGTAATGAGAAAAGAGGGCTTAGAAAATTTGACTCACAGAAGACATTGATAGCAAGAGTGAAAGAGGAAATCAGAACATTACTTACCTGATGAGTTTAAGCAAATGAATGGTAGAGCAGGGATTAGGAGAGATAGCGAAAAGGAAATTGTGGAGAGTCATATACCATATATAGACGATCTTTATAACATTGACTAAAAGTTACTGATGGATTTCTAAACCAGTTGCCACTAGATTAGGTCACATTAGATCATATCTCTATTAATTCGTTAATTTAAAGGATTTACAGGTTGTCTTTAAAAAAATGTAAAGTAAAATTAATGTACTGACATGAAATGTTTAGTAAATAAAAAAAAACAGTAAAATGTATAGCGTAAAATGAATTCGAAAATTTTATGTTGGAAAATATTTCAATAAATTCACTTTTATCTCAGTCGATCTGCATATCTATGTATAAATGTAGGAATATAGCTATCTCAGTCTGTTCCTATCTATCTATCTATCTATCTATCTATCTATCTCTACCTCGTAATTTTCATGACTATCTATCTATTTCAATCTATTTCTCTGTCTCTCTCTTTCACTCTATCTATTTATGTCAATTTGTTCCTATCTATCTATCTATCTATCTATCTATCTATCTATCTATCTATCTATCTATCTATCTATCTCAGGCTGTTCCTATATATCTCAGGCTGTTCTTATCTATCTATTTATCTATCTCAGGCTGTTCCTATCTATCTATCTATCTATCTATCTATCTATCTATCTCAGGCTGTTCCTATCTATCTATCTATCTATCTATCTATCTATCTATCTATCTATCTATCTATCTATCTTCCGATCAGTATTTATCTGTCTCTCTCTCTATATATATACTTCGTAATTTTCATGACTATCTATCTATCTATCTATCTATCTCCTGTCTCTGTCTGTGAGAAAATACAATGTATAAACTTTTTCTTTTTAAATCAAAAATTCATTTTCCGTTTATATTTTTAAAAATATTTCCTTTTAATTCAATGTAATCATATTTTTATTTCTTACATTGTTCATCCTCATTCGTCAATTTAAATCTTTTTTTTTTCACCCGGCTCCCTATTTTGTTTTCTTACGACTTGATTTCCTATCACCACTAAAAAAAAAAAAAACTCTAGGAACCAATTTGCTTTACTTTCGCGTCATACCCTTTTCTCGTTCAGACTTCTTTTCATTTGCTTTCTTTCTTTTTTCTAGACAGTTTTTTTTTGTATACTCTTCATCTTTCTTTCCATTCAATTTCTTTAATTTTTTTCTTTATATGGATTTTTTCTCTCTTCTCTCAATTTATATTCGGTTTGCTTCTTTACTCATTTTATTTTCATTCCACTCAATTTTTTCTTTCTTTTCATTCTTCGCCTGTTTTCCTTCCCTCCTTCCTTCGTTCATCTTTTATTTATCTTGTCTTTCCATCTCTGTTTCTCCCTTTGAAATTCTTCTTCTTCTTCTTCTTTTTCTTCTTCTTCTTCTTCTTCTTCACTTCCTCCTTCTCCTTCTTCTTCACTTCTTTCTCCTCCTCTTCCTCCTCCTCTTCCTTCTTCTTCTTCACTTCTTCCTCCTCCCCTTCCTCCTCCCCTTAAAACCTCCTCCTCCTTCTTCTTCACTTCCTCCTCCTCCTTCTACCTCCTCCTCCTTCTTCTTATTCACTTTTCCTCCTCCCCTTCCTCCTCCTCCTCCTTTTTATTTCACTTATTGCTTTTTGTCTCTTTCTTGTAATCTTTCTTTAGCTGATTTTTTACCGAGTTATTTTCCTTCCTTCCTTCTCGTCATCCCTTCCTTCATTCCTTCCTTCGTCTACCCATTCCCTTCATCTTCTCCTTCATTTTAATGTTCTTCAGCATCTTTCTTTCTTTTTTATTTGTTTCGTTGATTTTCTTTTCTTAGACCTCATTCTTTTTCTTCCTTCCTTCCTTTATTCGTCCACACATTTCTTCTTCTTTCATTTCAAACTTCTTCTTCGTCTATTTATTGCCTGTTTCCTTCATTTATTTTTTATTCATTTTCCTTCTTTATTCTTCTTTCATACGTCATTATTTCCTTTCCTTTTTTTTCTTTTCTCACTTGATTGCTTTCTTTCTTCCTTTCATCCTTTTTTTCTTTTTATATTTTGTTTTCTTGTTTCCTTCATTTTTCCTTCAGCTCCCAATCATTTCCTTCTTTTATTTCACTATTCGTTCTTTTTCCTCCCTTTACATGATATTTTTTCCTTTGGTGTATGTGTGGGTGGTGTACTGGGTAACATCAAGGGATGAGAAATCTGAGAGCTGAGTTCGAATTCTTGTCAGGTCCGTTGCATTTACTTCTGTTCAATTGGGAAAGGCAATACGCTTCTCATCAATGGTTCAAGTAGTAAGGATTGTACGTACAACTCAAAATAATTGTTAATGCAATATTCACTGGCAAATAAGATTTATTCTTACAGTACAACATATATATCGGTTTAAATAAGAGGTTGACAAACCGTGAAAACAAAAAATAAACAAATCAATCAACAATTTTTTTCTTTCTGTCTATATATCTGAGATGAATTTCTGAAGGACACATGGCCCAATGGATAAAGGCGTTGGTTAGGTCCAGTGACTAGATCCAAAGAATTGTGAGTTCAATACCAGATACCAGTGAACCAAAAAGCTTCGAGAGTTGAGTTGAAGGGAAATAACTGAGACACCGGAAGAGGTATGGCACGTGGAACTAGAAGAATCTATTCCGGTAAATAAAGAGTTTGTTTCGAAATTCCAATAAGCTGAAGGAGGCCGGAGCGCACAACGGCTGAAACGATGTGAATATGGCGATGAAGATGAAGATAATAGTCCGAATAATGTAAATGATGCAAGTAATCATAATACCTCATCTCTGAGATATAGAGGCCGAAACGTTGTGAATATGACAATGAAGATGAGAATAACAGTCCGAATAATGTAAATAATGCAGGTAATTTTTTCTTGTGTTTTTCATACAACTATTTTATATATTTCCTGCCACATCCTTTTTTCTTTTTCTCTTTTTTAATATCATCCATTCACGTCTCGTTATCTTTAAACCTTTTTGCTTTTACTCTTGAAATGAAGCAACCACATTTTTATTCCGTTTCAGTCCTCTTCTTATTTGAAACCACATTCTGTTTCCCAAACAGAAGTTTCATTCCCACCGATTTATCTAACGACGTTCTTTTCGATTGAAATCTAAAAAAAAAAAAAATAATACTCACTTTAAGATTGTTGAACAAATCATTTCGTGTTTTTCTTTTGATTAAATTCTTTTGTTCTTTTAAGTTGTTTATTTCGTTCAACGCCTTTTACTGATAAACAACACTGGACTATATTTAAATATTCTCCAAGTGCAGATCGGTACAGCCAACAAATTTACAGTCGGGGTGCGTGTTGCCTAAACAGCTAACGACACAAAGAATGGAAGCGACGACCCGAGTTCTAACTCCGGCTGGGGCTATTTGCGTTCACGCTGAACTATTATCACCCTTCTGAAAGGCATGAATCCATTTCTGTCCCTCAATATGTAAACGGAGCAATCAGGCTTCTTTATACTCATGTGTCTTTTAACTTTCATAGGAAACGAGGCAAATGGCCCTAAATATATATATATAAAAAAAATATAAACAAAAGGAATCGTATATAACGAAGATCTTTTGTTTTTTTTAAAGGAACCTTTAACAAATTAAAACTAGAAAAAAAAAATCAAGCGTCTTTATGCGTATTTTTAAATTCTTGATTTTTTTTGATCGGAAAACCGTTAATCCGTGACGATGTTAAGCGAAAATTCAGTCGATCACAGTTAAGTATTGTGAATATTTTGTTCATTGAAAATAAAAATAATTTTATTCATTGATAATAATAATAATAATAATTGATATGGCAGTCCCTGCAGACTGCAATGTATCTTTGAAGATCTTCAAAAAGCTATCGAAATAAATCGATGTCTCAAAAATGTGGCACATCAGTACATCCAAAATCCCTGTTGTAGTTGGAGCCCTCGGATTGATTGGAAAAGATTACAGTAGACTCATCGAAGGGATTCCTGGAGGCCCACGCCTTAAAGAAATACAAAAAATTGTTCTCACGTTTACAGCCCATACCTTTCGATGGGCTTTATTAATATATGTGTGTGTTAGTTTTTTATTGGTTAGTGGAAAATTGATGCCATTTCTAGCCTTAGGTCTCTGGGCGGGACCCGGAAAGAAATGCGTACATCATAAATCAAAGGAAATAATAATAATAATAATAATAATAATAATAATAATAATAATAATAATAATTGTACTCACAGGAAGGGATGTGTGTTTTTTTTAATTGTTCAGTGGAAAATATCATGATGTCATTTCTGACCTTAGGTCTCTGGTCGGGACCCGGAAAGAAATGCGTACATCATAAATCAAAGGAAATAATAATAATAATAATAATAATAATAATAATAATAATAATAATAATAACAGGAATAATTGTTTTTTTAATTGGAGTGGGATGTGTGTTTTTTTTAATTGTTCTGGTGGAAAAAATAAATCAATGATGTCATTTCTGACCTTAGGGATGTGGTTTTTTCTGGTCAGGGACCCGGAAAGGTCTCTGGTCGGGAAATGCGTACATCATAAATCAAAGGAAATAATAATAATAATAATAATAATAATAATAATAATAATAATAATTGTACTCACAGGAAGGGATGTGTGTTTTTTTTAATTGTTCAGTGGAAAATATCATGATGTCATTTCTGACCTTAGGTCTCTGGTCGGGACCCGGAAAGAAATGCGTACATCATAAATCAAAGGAAATAATAATAATAATAATAATAATAATAATAATAATAATAATAATAATTGTACTCACAGGAAGGGATGTGTGTTTTTTTTAATTGTTCAGTGGAAAATATCATGATGTCATTTCTGACCTTAGGTCTCTGGTCGGGACCCGGAAAGAAATGCGTACATCATAAATCAAAGGAAATAAAATAATATTAAAATAACACGGGACGACTGAATGGGCCAATATTTGCATTGGAAAATCGGCAACATTTGCGGAAAGGAAATTGTTATGAACACCACCCAAAGCCGGTTACCATTAATAATTTGATGGGACTTTACAATCTACACAGACAGAAGAATCAAAGATAATCGCCCCTGACATCGAGATTAGAGACCCGCAAAGACAAAATATGCCTCCTTATTGACATAATAGTCACTGTAGACTGCAAAGTATCTTTGAAGATCTTCAACAAAATATTGTATGGTACGGATATGCTCTGGCGCCCACGTACAAGCCTCGCGTATGGATAAATACGAACTTATTATAATGCTGACACAACGAAAAATATCTCTAAACTGACGTTACGCGGATCAATAAGTCGAGGAACCAGACTAGGATCGAAAAGTCTGCAACAGGAACGAAGTCCACGCAACGAGAACTAGAGGAAAACTACGCCGAGTACTTTCCTCAAAGAGGCCCTCCGTATTCAATAAAAGAAAATTCCACAAAAGAAACGATAAGTCTAAGGAAGAGTATATTGAAGTAATGGTAGCATTTTACACTACTACGATAAAGCCGACAACAACAACAATAACGACCAAAGCTACCTGGCGAGAAAAACAAGACTAAACATCGATGCCAACAAACTAGCCAATGTTAAGTGTGGCATCATCAGAAAAAAAGAAAAAGAAAACATTACCTGACATAGGGCGTCCGAGAAAACATAAAAAGCAGATTAAATGTTAACATCTCAGAGGAGACACATGGAGAATAAAAACCAGTTGTAATAATCCCTCTGAGGTACACAAGCAAAAGTGGAAGATAATGAAGAATACGCGAGAGAAACAGAGATGACAACAAACATCCGATATAAATGGGAGAATGTAAAAGAAATGTCTTTTGAAGAAAGGCCAACAATTCCAAAAGTAAGAAAGAACCGTCAAGTGAAGAAAACTATCAACCTCGCTAAGCAAACAATTAGAAAAATAAGTGACGAAATGGAAAGACCGATGAACCCGACAGAAATTTATCATCTTATATACGCGGCCTTGGCAACGATCGTTGGAACAATAGGGGAAAAAGTAAAAACAAAACGTAAACGAAAAAGAAAAACGTCACTGTGGAAAGAAAAATAGAAACTGAAATAAACTACGAGGACAATTGTCACTTCTAAGTGAAGTAGACAAGGGCTCCAAAATGAAAAAAAGAGAAAAGAGACAACTGAAACGAAGCCATGGCAGAAAGAATAAGACTGACGTACCAAAAATTAAATAGAAGCTGAAATAACAAATTCAAACAAAGGCACAAAGAATCAGGCGTTAGGAAAAAAGAAACAGAATTCTTCTGGAAAAACAAGATCTTCAAAGAAGACATCAAGAAACTATATGAAGGCCCGACAAAAATAAAATAGAGATAAATAACCCATCTAATATTCAGGAAGTCGAGATCTTTTGGTGTAAGATGTGGAAAAACTGCAAAATGCACAATGAAATAGTTACATTGATCAAGCAACAACAGAAACAACACACACATGTAGAGTACCAACAATGGATGGATATCGATATTACTGAAACAAACGCTGGCATCTGTAAAACCAAAAACCTTGAAAACACCAGGAATAGACCAAATAGCCAATTTTTGGATAAAAACCAATAACCCACCAAAACCTAGCACAGGCATACAATGATATAATCCAAAATCAAGAAAAATGTCCCAAATGGCCCTCGTGGGGTGTAACATGCCTACTCTTAAAAACAGAAGAGACGTAGAACCTACAGAAGTATAGGCCTATCACATGCCTACGACAATGTACAAGATCATCACGTCCATCATATCTAAGGTGACATACAACTTCCTTTAGAGAAACGATTTACTCCCAGCAGAACAGAAGCGATGTAAAAGAAGGAGTTACGGATGCAGGGACCAATTAATTATCAATAAAATAATATTGGAAGAGGTGAAAACAAAGAAAAGAAACTTATCGACAGCATGAGAAGGCGTTTAACAGTGCACCACACTCATGGATAAAGAAAAGCCTAAAATTATACAGAGTATGCCCCACAACGGTCAAATTCATAATGGAGAGGATGAAAAACTGGAAAACTCCACTAAACGTAAACTATACAAACGGGTGATTAACATCGAGGCCAATCAACATCAAAAGTGGGATCTTCATTGTCACCATTACTTCTCTGTCTCACATTATCGGAACTCAGCTGTCTATTGAAGAATAGTAGCTACGGGTACAAGTCAGAGAATGGCAAATTGAATCACCTATTTTATATTGATGATCTTAAACTTTTTGCCAAGGATAACAACCAGCAGAAAAACCTTCTCACCATTATCAAAACCTTTAGTGAAAACATTAGGATGAAGTTCGGCATCAACAAACGTGCCAAAGCCAATTTCAAATGTAGTAAACTAACGAAAACTACAGATTTATATTTCGATATCAACAACAAGATTAAAGAACTAGACCAATATGGTACATACAAATAATTAGGAATTAAGGAAGACGACAGAATACAACATTCAATTACGAAGACGATTCGAAAAGAATATAAAAGAGTGCTTTTGATGCTAGAAAAGGAACTAAATGGACCAATACTCTGATGGCTGTCAACACCTTAGCTATACCGGTGGGAACATACAACTTCAACATTATTAAATGGAAGTTGAATTACATTAAAAGATTGGACGCCAAGTTGAGAAAAATGCTTGCCCGAAATCAGATGTTGATAGGTATATATGATAGAATATTGTATTCTAAATAAATGCAAGGAACTTGAAAATGAAAAAATTCCTTGAAAGTACTTTTTTACTTATTGGAGTACGATTGGTACTTTTATAATAATTGGTGTACGATCTAAAAATGCTTCGAAGAAGAACATTAACAAGATCCCCGTCGCCGCTGTTTACAAGGCTGTAAAAAATGCAATGCATGACAATGCTTATCTACTCCTGATAATATAATCTATATAAAGAAAATATGAACGCCATACATATAAGGTATCAATTGGCATCAAAATTTCTGAAGCTTGCTTATATTTACTGCTCGGATAATGACCCGGTAAAAAAGTGCCCTAAACAGAACTCAAAAGAAGACAACAACAATAATAATAATAATAATAATAATAATAATAATAATGAATGTTACTTTTTCACATTTATCTAATCCGAAATCCATGCTTATTTCGTCAATGAAAACATTTT